AAAAAAAAATTTCGGACTTTATTTTATCTTCATGGTGAAAACAGACATCAAAGTTTATAAAAAAAATACGATTTTTGTAAAAAAATTCATTTTTATATTTTTAACTTTATAATGCTATAACTTTTTGAAAGATGTATGGATCAATATAAATTTTTTTTTATAGATGCATGATGTCTTTACCTATCATTTGGTATATATTTTTTTTATATCTGACCCTTTACCTGCCCACAGGAGGGGGATTTAAAATGACCACTTTTTCACAAAAAATTTACTTTTTCAACTTAAATTTTGAAAGTGTTCTGGAAAGTCTGACACTTTTATATATATCTTAAATTAAAGCTAATGTAATTTACTTTATTATGCGAAAAAAAAATTTCGGACTTTATTTTATCTTCACGGTGAAAATGGCTACCGAATGCTATTATTGTGTGAAAATTCTCGATTTTATTTTTTACATTTTTAACTTTATAATGCTATGACATATTGAAAAGTGTATGGATCATTATAATTTTTTTATTGGAAATACTATTTTTTAATATTCCTTTTTTCATTCGACTTACTTTATCTTAATGAGGATATTAATAAGGAACTAGCAGTTTATGAAGTTTTTGGAATAATCCACCAATTTTTTAAAATTATACACTATCTAAATATACTTGATCCATCTATACCACGTCACCACTGTGCCGCGACTCCCCTGTGCTGGGTCTTTTTCTGTTGAATTTATAATTTTATTTTTATATTTTTCAGATTTTTCATTCTGAAAAAGTGTTCCGAATTCTCTTTGCTGCATCATATTCTAGGTAACCAAAGAGATATGTAAATAAACAAATAAACTATACTTAATATTATATTATTATCTTCGATAAAAATTGAATTTCCCATAAAAATCTAATAGAAAAAATAGCAGAATTATATTAAACATTATGTTACTGCATTTATATTAAGGGGGTTGATAGTTTATTTTATATTTTTGAATCAGACAAACTCCAATAACATAACTAAATCGAATAAATATATTAATATAATTATAGTTACCAATTTTTCTGGAATAATTTTATCATTTTTATTCGTTTTTCGATACGTGCGTTTTTTTGGAATAATGGAATTTTTTATAGGATAAATATTTTTATTAATAATTGCTGCAAATTGAATATAATTTTAATAATTATTAATTAAATAATCAATTTCGAAAAAGGTTTTTAATATTAAAATAGTTAAATTAAAGTAAAGCGACTGAATTATTGTTATATATGAATAAGAGAACTTATTATTAATTTTTCTTATATTTTATATTAAAAAACTTTTTCTCTATTCGAAATAGTTAGTTTAATTATTAATCTTAATAGTGTTTACAGATAATTCTTCCATCTTTAGTTGACTTTTTTGATATTTGTCCTTTATTTGTATTATTTAAAACACAATTGGAATGCATGAAACGACGATTCCATATTTCTTCAACTCTGCGTATGACCTTATGTAAGTTTGATTCATTTGTTTGACCAAAAATATTTTTTTCACTTGCCATATCAATAACTAATTAAATAAATCTTAATAATTACACAAGACGATAGTTTATTTTTCACGGGAAAAAACGAAGTGAACTGAAATGTCGATAAAATCAACATTTACATCTAATTGTCAAGGAAACTTAATTGTAAAAATTCATTAAAAAAATGTATAAGCCAATTATAAATAAATTTAGTATAAACAATACTTATTTATTTTAATTGTATTATTGGTCAAAGAATACAATATTTTAAGAATAATACAGAGAATTATCAAAAAAAAAAAATATATATATATATATATATATTTTAAAGATATTTTGAAGAAAAACCTTTTGTATTTGTTTGTTTATTTATTACATTAGTTTACAAATGATAGAGATTTTTTTATGAAAGTTCAAGTGGAATAAATGTGGTATCTGTTAACAGAATATTTATGCATATAAAATTTAATCTGTATGAAATAAAATATCAACGTTTGGATTTATTCTCTTGCAACTATTAAAAATTTTGCCCATGTGAAATTGCTATTTCCATTTAGTTATTAACAAAAAACATCATGCCATGCGATTATAATCAACATAAAAATTTATTAAGTTGAATATATAATATATTTTAACAATTTAATTAATGACATAATAATTCTGATAAAAGAAAATAACAGGAGATTTGAATTAATTTTAACGACTTTAACAAATCGAAAATAACTTTAGGGTTTAACTACCTTATAGGTTTAATTATTATTTGCATTTTTAATGTTATTATTATTATTATTTTTTTTTTTGACAATAACGGCTATTTTTGTAACTTCAATGAAAATGACAAATTATCCAAGAAAATCAAGGAAATTTTAGAGAAATATTAAGATACAGTGCCCAAGGAGATGACCGTTTAAAATCATTTTTGGAAGCTGAAGAAACAACAAAATATACAAGTGAAACACTTCTAAATGAAATAATTGAATCCTGTAATAAAATTATTTTAAATAAAATCGTTACAAACATAAATGCCCAAAGATGTTTCAAAATACTTGCTGATGAAACGGCCGACATTGGTGGAAGCGAATAAGTAACTTTGTGTGTTCGATATTTAGATGTTGAAAATATGATTATCAAGGAAGAATTCTTTAGTTTGTGCCTACAACAGATACTACTGGAAAAGGTTTATATATTATTATTCAAAGTTTACATTCATTTGGCGTAGAAACAAAATACCTTAGAACACAGTGTTACGATGGATGTGCTTCTATGTCTGGTCAATTTAACGGAGGTCAATCTCTTATTCATCAAAGTTATCCGCTTGCGACGTTTGTTCATTGTGCTGTTCATGTTTTAAACCTTGCTATTTCTTATTCATCTTCTATACAAGAAACACGAAATTGATTAGGAACAACATCTAAAGNAACGAAATTGATTAAGAACAACATCTAAAGTTAGAGATTTTTTCATATACCCAAAGCGAACAGATGTGTTGAAAAGTCAAATCGAAGAAAGTCAAAAATGTATAACTAAAAAATCATTAAAACAATCATGTGCGACTAAATGAGTTGAACATTTTTATGCTGTCAATGATTTTCTTGAGCTTTTTGTGTACCTAATTGAATTGTTATTTATAAATAACAATTCAATTATTGTTATTTATAATTTCGAAGTGGAATAACACTGAAACATCATCAAAAGCAAGTAATTTACGAACATCAATACTGAAAGGAGATTTTATTATTTGTTTACTTATTATAAATAAAGTATTTAGTTATGAGTTACTTTGTTTAAAACAACTTCAAAGAAATTAGCAGGTACACAGCATTGTTATTATCAATGGTAGTAAGGCACATTGTTGTGAGTTTATAAATACACTAACTGACAATACAGAAAGTATATCTATGATAGTCATAATTGATAATAAACAATCCGTGACTGCGACATTGATATCATATAAACCATTTAGCTACCTGTATTTGTAATCATATCATCATGTGTATTATACATGTATATTAACTCAAAAATTTGAAACTTTAAATGTTTATATCTAATAAACTAATAAAGTTATATTAAAAATTCAAATGACATTTACTATTTAATTAAAAATCCAAACATTTTATTATATTGAAAATATGTGTTCCCATTTAAAAGACAATAAGACAAAATTGACACCCTTACAAGGCATAAGGAATGAACATAAAAAGTTTTAAATAGTTAATAATTTAAGAATAATGTGTAACTAAAGAAAACCAAAAATAATGTTTAAATTATATTTATTCTACAAGTAAATGAGTGGGTTATGATAAAAAAATCAGTCTGTATACTGCAATATAGTTTATCATTTGTAAAGCTTGAAGTAAAACATTTTTGTAATGTTTCGTTTAATTGTAATTTCCTGATCTATTATTACTAGACCAGGAATTAAATATTTATAAACATTTTTGAAAACGATAGTATTATTAATTTTGCAAAAAGAAGAAAAACAAAATATTTTAGTATATTAGACAAAATGGAATGAATTGTAGAGGAGAGAGGACCTCAGGAGCACCGAAGGTAATTTCTTTTTGCGCGGTACGTTTATGACATTAAGTTTTCATTTTGTGTATTGTTTTACTATGTTTTTAGTGTATATTTATTTTGTATGTTTTGCATTGTTTAATTATATCTATAATGAATACATTTGAGTTATTATTAAACTTTTATTACTTTAAGTTAAGGCACTAGGGTTGTTTCTTTTAAGATACAACAGTACCAAAGTTTCAAATTTCAAATTATTTGTCAATTCCTAAAATAGTAATTAGAAAAGTAGTAAGTTTTTTTTACGTCAGTAAACATTTCTATAATTTTCGTTTGTGAGGTTCATTAAAAGTTGGACACCACCCGAGAAATCATTCAAAATACGCCACTGTGTTATACATAGATAAGTTATATATATATTTTAGGACTGTTATAAGTATATGTCTGTACATTCATTATTAGAATAGTACAGTATAAATAATCTTATTTATCTCATATATGATTTATAAGTATATGAGTTTATTGTAAAAATTGGGATCCATCTATAACAACTATGCTGTCCAACGTCAAATCACAGTAATCAATATTTTTATCAAAATTAAATTTTCACATAGTCCCCAGATATAATAACTTGACTAATTTTTTTGTAATTATTCAATAACATGAATACAATTATTATAATTAGAATATTAAAAATTATTGAGTATATCAGAGCCGTATTTAAGGGAGATATGAGCGTTTGCCCCCCCCCCCGTGAACCAGCGCTATCAATATTTTTTAAGCAAATTCTAAGAAATAAAGACCTAATAACCTTTCTTTGATCATCACTTTGATATTTAATAATGTTTAACAGTGTAAAAAAAATCACTCTCCTAAAATAATTTCTGAATACGCCCAAGAGGAATACCTCATTAACAAACGTCAACCTTATACCAAATACATTTTACTATATTCTCTTTTTGAATTTTCCTGATTTTAATATGTTTTTTTTATACTGATTTTGATGTAATATTTTCTTCATAGTCGGGTACTCCTATCGGAATCAGTGGCCTACTTACAAGGATGGCCCAAAGAGGCTTGTGCGCCTCTTTGGCGCGTGTTCCAACTAGACGAAGCCTAGTATAAAATATATATCTCTAAAAAAAATATTTTAAAATACAAAATTAAAAAATCACTATAACATAAAATAAAACCTTCTGTAGATGATTTACGTTACCATGTATTTGCACAAGTTAGATATAAAATTTCTGTTGGTGTGTAAAAGGTAACTAAAAACTTATCAGATCATTTTTGAATTTGCAGAAAACTGAAGCTATATCGTAGGTCAATATTATATAACGAAAAATTGCTGTGTATATATGTGTAAAAATTCTGTATTAATATATTTGGGACAACTTTGTAATCATACACAATTTAGTCAGTAATCTTATACTAAAAAGTAGAAATTATAAGTTTGCCATTTTTTAGGGAAGTATTAAGTTTTTTTTAATCAGTGTAGTAACTGATAAAAGGCGAGTTACAAAATTTGAATTATTATTATTACTTTATTAAATTATTTATTAAGAATTATGTATAAAAATAAATACTTTTAGTTTATAATCGATTTATTAGGTTTTATTGTAAGAGTGCCTATAGACCCGGTTACTACTTGCGAAGTAGCAAAATTCAAGTATTTTGCTTGTTTCCATTTAAAATATAGAGAAAATAAATCCTAGGGAAGTTGTTGATGGGTAAAATTATTTGCATTTACATCTACACATTTGTATTTTGAAACGGCTTATGTTGAATGACAAATAGTTTTGTTGTATTATAGCGTCCTCTAACGGCAACGGTTAGAAACATGTGTCTAGAACTGAGTTGTTACTGTATTTTAAATTGATAAGAAATTGCTTACTTTACACTCGTTAAATAAGCGAGTTTCATAGGGCTGAAAGATATATTTTTATATTATCTATATGAATATTACACTATGCATAATTAAAGACCTCGATAACGAGATAAAATGTTTTGTTATTGTAAATATTAACAGTTATTTTAATGTATAATGAAAATTTTAAGTATCATTCAATTCCAATTTTATATACCTAAAGACAAATCATAAATTATTTAATATATGATTTATTTCAAATAAATTACTTACATTATCTATATTAGAATAAATTTCTTAAGTATTTCAATTAATTTTTTAATATTTTAGTTTTTTGAATCTGTTTATGCGTAATTATGAGATTTAATAGTAAAGAACTGATCCATGTTAGCCATTCAAATCCAATTTTAGAAGGAAGAATGTCTTATGCTAAATTATCAAATGGCTATCCGTCAAAAGGTAGTAAAATTCAGTGGAATTTTGACTAAGTAGCATATTTAAAAATATTGGTTAAGTATTTTTTATGTAATGTACGTTATAGTTATTATATTTTCAATTTGAATTGCTCATTAATATAAAATTATATTATAAATTAAAGGAAAAATTATAATATAATTTTTATACTGATACATGAATGAGTTTAATTTAATATTATTTGAAAACTTTTTAATAAGTAAAATAAGAATGCTTAAATCTAAAAGCAGAGGTATTTTAATGGCAAGTCAATTTTTATTTTATTTTCAGGATTTAAAGAAAGATGGTTCAAACTGAAGTATAATCTTTTATTTTATTTTAAAATAAACTGTGTTGGACATGCAGTATTAAATCAGGTAATTAAAATTCAGGGACGTATTTAGAAGAAGCAAATGGGGAGAATTGTCCTATATGGCACATTTTTTAGAATTTTGGAGATTACAGGATTGTTGTATACAAGCTACTATGGAAAACATGGTCATCAATTAAAAAATATGTATACATTTATCAAATTCTAATTTTGTGAAGGTAAACATAAATTTATACAACTACAGAGTGATCAGTTTATCATAAACTTCTCAATTACTTGCAAAATAAATGCAATATTGAAAAAATATATTTTTGAGATGCTTATATTTCTCGATTCATTTAAGTTATGATTCTATGAATGGCATTCAAACTTGACCTAATTAGCCAAATCTCTAAATACGTCACTGATAGAACTTAAAATTATTTTGTTTTTATGTGATACAACAATTTATTAAGAAAATTGATTTTCATTGAGTAACCAGATAAGTTTTTTGTAGCCAGCTGGTGTTTTTGTATTAGAAAATTCTGTAGTAAGACCTGAAAACAATATACCTGGTACATTTTTTTCATTTTCATTATCATTCAAAGATGAACCTGATAAAAAATATATAATTTCAAGCCAGTCAGAAGATCATGTTCAAAACTGGATTAATTGTATTCAAAGTGCTACGTAAGTTTGGACATTATTTGACATTATTTCATTATTACTTGGATAATTTCAAAAATACAATGTCATTTTTAGTTCAGATGAACTATATTTTATAATAAAATATTTGAGTATTGATCTACGCAGATGTTTTAATTTAATATTTATAAAATTTGAAATTATTTACTTCTATAATTTATTTTTACTGTAAATATTTAAATTTTAGGTATGAATACATGAGAACTCAATTATCGACATTACAAAATAAAATTTTAATCTTGTCAGGAAAAGTAAGAAATGTTTTAATCTATTTAAAGTTTATATATTGTTTTAAATAATTAGCTTTATTTTAATACTCTGGTATACATATATTCAAGTTAAAAATAATTTATGTAGCAATGAAGGTTACATCAATAATTTAATTTTGAATTAATAACAATAATTGAATATAGATATATTAACCTATAAATGAAAATACAAATATATTGAATTATAGAAACAGTATAAAAATTACACTTTAATTAAGTAATATAATTAATACTTCAAAAATATTAACTTATTTAATAATATTAGTTTTAAAATCTATCAATATAAATTTCATATTATGTTATTTTATTATATGAGATATAAAATTAAGTATATAATTATTTGTTGAAAAAATAATAAAACATATTTGTATTTATTTTAAAGGATCCCTTATTATTATATCCTGAAGATAGCAAAAAAATCAATCAAAGTAACACAAACGAATTTGTTTATAAAAATTTAAAACCAGCTCCACGTCCTCCCCCTAGACATAAATCTGAGAGTGTAAATTCAAATACTGTTAACTTGATTGAACTGTAAATTTTTATGTATAGATATAATTTAATGTGTATATATAATATTTTTTTAGATGTAATTGATGTAATGTTAACCATACAATTTATTTTTAAAGGAATCCAAAGATATTTTTGTAATTATTTTGATTGTAAATGTTTATTTTGTTAAATAACTATTAAATTAATTCTATTATAAATTGAAAAGAAAAATTATATATTTAAATTTAACTAAAGTTTTATCTATTCACTTAAAAATTTTGTATTATATTATACAATAAAATTTAACTTATGTTTCATTGATACTTATTTTGTAAATGTTTATCCTTTCATGAAGTTTAGGTAAGTTTTTTAGAGTGTATATTATATTTGTTACATTAATGAAATTTTGTTTAAAAACTAAATATCCTTTAGTGAATAACCTTTCATTTTGAAATGTTACATTCTTTTCCGTAGTTGGTAATGATGAATTCAAATAGATACCTATAGACTACCACATTCAGCGGTAAAATTTCTAAAATGAAGTAAATTAATTAAAATTTATCTAGTTAATTAAATTACTGATACTAAAAGAGAATAAAACAGTAGGATCAGATAAAGAGCCAGTAGAAGTATGAAAAATATTAGGGAGTGTTGGCATAAGGTGGTTGTAGGAACTTTTTAATAAAATGATATTAGAAGGGAAAATGCCAATAGAAAGGAGGAATAGTGTTGTGGTGCCAATATTTAAAGGTAAAGGAGTCATACAGGGTGTGGAAATTATGGAGACATGAAGCTTATGAGTCATAGTATGAAGATTTGGGAAAAGGTAATAGATAAGAAATAAAAAAATGAGACATCGTCTTTTAAAACCAATTTAAATTAATGCCTCGTAAGTCAACAATGTAGTCATTATCTTGCGTGAGGCAACTATCAGAAAAGTTTAGGGAAAAGAAGAAAAAGCTGTTTATGGTATTTATAGATTTAGAAAAAGGTATGATAGAGTCCCGAATGAGGTTTTGAAGTTGGCATTAATAAGAAAAGCAGTCCCGAAAAGATACATTAATATAATAGAGGATATGTATAGATCGAATTTAATGATCAATTAATGATACGTTAAAAGAATACGACTGTAATGAAGATAAACCTATCATCGCCGAAAATATGGTAAAATCCTTTCATTTTTAATACGCTTATATTAGTTTCACTTGTATGTGTGATGTGTCGTAATATGCTCAATGCTTTGCATTAAGCATCTTACAATTATCAATAAAAAATGTATAATTTGTATTTTAAATAACTTGTAAACAAACAAATAATTTATCTGTCATAACAAATACGATGTTCAACACAATTTCTTATTATTTATATATATGTCAATTTATCAATTGTTAAATATGTTATCTCAACATAATAATCATGTAATGTATAATTAAATACAATAAACTAAAAAGATCACTAAAAGAGCTTACAACAATATCCCTGGATTGGGGGTATTATCATTTTACTATAAAAAGCACTGAAATCCTTTCAGACTCCAGAGAGACTCGAAGGAGTGACGGACAGAGCGAGAGAGTTCGCTTTCTCCGAATTGAAATGGGAATGGAAAGAAATAATTATCAGTCACAGCCCTGTGTTGTTGTCGGCTGACTTTTACGCGTTTTATTTATATATGAAAAGAACTTGTTTTAATTATTTATCTTTTGAAGAAGTGCGAATTAAATACTTTTAAACATATATAAACATCTCGAGATATTTATCAAATCATTTTACAGCAATTTGAAAGAATAAAAGAAGTAAGTAATTTTATGTTAGCCCAATTATTTGGAGTTAATAAATTTGAGTAAAGGATGACAAAGCAATAGATCATTTATTAAATTAATATCTTAAAGTGTCAATTTTGATTGGTTGGTTAAAGAAGTTATACATAATCACGTTATATGGTATTCGTGAACTGGCTTCGCCGTTTCGTTGCCTCTTAGTTAGGACATTAGAAACTAACCAGACAAAAGTTTATTACTCCTCGAATAGAGGTACTACGTCTATTATTTTTATATCTACTTGTCTTTGTCGTTCTAAACCCTCGAACCATACGACCCCGATAGAACCACAACATCAGGTTCTCACTATATACAAAAACCCAAGTCCCCATCATTATTTTTATTATTATCAATATTTTTATTTTATTAATTTTTGTTATTTGAATTATAACAGATGTGTGTTGTGTGATGTGTGATGTGTGATGTGTGTTGCGTGATGTGTGTTGTGTGTTGTGTGATGTGTGTTTGTAACTTTCCACGCGGCACGTGTTATTATTCTCGCATTTATCCCACCCCGCTCACCAAACATCAGCTTCACTAATCCTGTATAATTTTTATATTTTTGGTTTTCGTACCCCTACACACGTGCATGACATCAATTATACATATATAAACAAATTTTTATTTTGACTGACCAATACCGCCCGCATGTAAAGCGCCTTACGTATATATATTTATATATTCCTACCGCCGCTGCCACCGTTTATACCTTAGGACCTAAGGTTTAGGTATAACGTTCCCCCTGCCCACAAAACACAGCTATATCTCGAGCATGATAATTTTACGAACTTAAGTCGCCTATATATATATGTTCTAATTACTATTAAAAATATATATTAACACGCTTTATTCTCATTAAGAGATATAGAGTGTATTCATTCCGATTACAAAGGATGATTTCTGTATCGTTATTTTTCGTCACTACCTCCATGTTCCGGGAGTGGGTAATTTACGCGCCTGCTGCTTTCTTTGGATGTGGCAGCCGTTTCTCAGACCCCTTCCCGGAATCGAACCCTGTTTTCCCGTTACCCGTTACAACCATGATATTGATAGTAACTACTATCATAACATGAAACTAAAAAGTAAAAAATAAATATAGTTTAAAAGCGTGTTTTTTTAGATTTTAGTTTCGATGCGAAGCTGAGAAGGTATAAATTTTACAATAATGTGTTTATTTATTTTATTTTTAGCTTCGATGCGAAGCGAAGAAGGTATTAATTTTACTATGATGTGTTTTTTTTTTTTTTTTTTTTTTTTTTTTTTTTNAAAAAAAAATTTGTCCCGACGACCTCTCTTCTGCATGCAAACGGCTACCCTATTCAAAAATATGATATTTATGTATTAAAATTTTGGATTTTGTATTTTATTTTATTTTAAAATATCTTATCAGGGGAATACACTGACTTTCATGAATATTATATAATTTAATTGACATAGAATAAAGTTCATAAGACAAGATATTAAACTTATTAAATTTTTTTACTTTTTTAAAGTCGAAAAAGTAATTTTTAAATTTGAGTTGGCTTAAATAGCCATTTTTTTCGTGCGACGAGAGCTACGAACAGTTGCAGAATCGGTATTACTTGTGTCTTTCACGCCAAGGGTACGAGGTTCGAATCTGTCTGTACCAATTAATATTTTGCATTTTTTTTGAGATAGAATAAAATTATTAAATCATTTGATATTTATTTCATTTAGATTCAATAACTTCAATAAATATAAAGGATCCTATCACTATAGTCCCCCTCGTGAGAAGAAATTTATATTCATGTTAATATTATTTTACTATGTGGTTCTTTTTTTGCCAACCCTCACTAGACCTACTTTTTTCAACGATACGTCAAATGATTACAATTCGTATTTAGTTTAAATTATTACTCTTAAAAATCGAAAAAATATTCTTTATTCAAATAAAAAGTAGCTTAACTAGCTTTTCCCATACAAACAATTAAAATCATTAATTTCTAATATTCTTAAAGTATTTATTTTCGAATTAGATTTGATATGATAAAAGTATTCAACTACAATAGTAAAAACGGTAGCACAATGGGGTCGAGGCACAGTGTAGACAAGGCATAGATGGGACAAGTATAGATGATATTTGACAGTGATTAAAATCACTATCATAAGAAACGCTTCGANGAACTTTTGAAAATGTTCCGGAAATACTGCACCCTTTAAACATTTATCAAATCAAAGGTTATGTTATATACAATCAAATGAAAAAAAAAAATTTGTCCCGACATCTTATCTTCTATGTGCAAATGACTGTCGAAAATTTAAAAAAAAATGTAATGTTTGCGATAAAAATTACCTTTTATCGGGATGTTTTTTGTACTTAAAACTGCCATAACTTTTTCAAAAATGAACAAATAAAAATAATATTTTTTTGTATTGAAACCTTAGATATTTCCCTTTCATTTGATATAATTTTTTTTGAAAATCTAACACTTATTCTGCTCACTGGGNATCAACATAATTTTTTTTTAAACTAAAACCTTAGATATTTCCCTTTCATTTCATATCATTTTTTTGAAAATCTAACACTTAACCTGCTCAATGGAGGGGGATTTAAAATAGCAACTTTTTTACAAAAACTAACTTTTTCAACTTAATTTTTGAAAATGTTCCGGAAATACTGCGTCCTT